AAAACACAGGTTACTTTCCGAGAAAGGCTTGCTTAAGGTCCAAGCTTGACCGCTTTGGAAAATAATAATTCAACGCACGCAAGAGCTTGTCAAATGCACTACTACACATTTCATATGAAAGCAAGAGTGCACATGACAAAAATAAGGCATGTAACAAGCTTAGTGCACACCTATGGGAGAGAGTTGCCAAGAGAAGGAAGAAGAATCAAAAGAAAACTCAACAAAATAAGAAAAGGAAAAAAAAAAGAAGATGAAGGCAAACTCTCCTCACCATGTTTTTGGGAGGCAACATCACCCTTTTCCTCAATTAGGGACAAATGAGTCACATACAAATCATCATCGACAAGGGGGTCCCCAATAGGCTCTTTGAGATAGGAAGGGAGAAAAATAGGGCAAGAAGGGATGTGGTCAAACCTTTGAGAATAAAGGGTATGAGAAATAGGCAAAGGGGTAGCTAATCCCTCAACACAAGGTCTCACATTTCCAATGAGAATATGAAAATCAATCATAGAGTCCTCAAATGAAGATTTCTCACAATCTAAATCTCCCTCAAGCTCAAAAACACCAAAGGAATCAACCTCATCCTCCTTTGCACCATAATAAACAACCTTTCCTTCAACCAACTCAAAACCGAAGTCCTCAAAACCGTGCATGAGAGGAGGTAGAGTCATCGTAAACTCATCTAAATCCTAATAAGCTTTCTCGATGAACTCATCCAAAAATCTATAAATTTTCATATGACTCTCACAAAACAAATGGAACATTAGCTCAAAAGACTCTATGTACTCATAGATTGAATGCTCACAAACATACACTTGAGTCTCATCAAGATGGGAAAGAAGGTTAGGATTTTCAAATTCAACACTCTCTTCATTCACAACTCTTTCACCATCACTTATATGCTCATCAAAGGTATCTTCACACTCTCTTGGTTGCTCAAAAATATTATTATCCTCAAAACACACATTTGATTTGTAATTTTCACACACAAGCATCAAATATGACAATTAGCTTTCTAGCTCTTTACCTCTCCTTCCTCTCTCCTCAAGTTGCTCTTCACTCTTTTTCATCACCTTCAATTTACTTCTCATAGAATTGAGAATCGATTCCTTATTAGGCCCAAACTCATTATCAAGCTCAATACACCTAATTTGAGACTCAAATATATCAACAAGAGATTTAAAAGATGTAGAAGTTTGAGGCTCAAAAAGAGAAGAAAAAGAAGTACAACCAAGATTGGAAGAATCAACATTGAAATCATGAGAATATACATCACATTGGGGAGTGGGGGCACAATCAAACATATGAGATTCATTATTAAGGGAATGAACTACATCACAAGAAAACATGGCAAATAATGAAGAAAATTGAAACACACCATTAGCATCCACTTAAGCATGTACTTCATCATCATCAACAAAAGAGGAAATAGAATCGAAAGCACTTGTTCAAGGTTCACTCATGGGATCGTTTGACAATTCATGGGAATTCATGCTAATATAAGAAGAATCAAGACATTCCACATCAATATTAGGATCATGAATACCCATATTATAAACATCCCTAGAAAACCAAACATAAAAATCCCAAGCATCATCAATTGACAATGCTCTAAATCTACCATTATGCATGCATTCAACTTCATTCCTCGTTCGTTCATTCAAACAAAAATAACAAACCTCACAAGCCTCCCAAAGACTACAACAATTATAGTCCAAAAATCCCTCAAGTCTATTGAAATATTCACAAAAAGGCTCATTGTCATATTGAGGAAATGATAGACATGCCATTTTTTTTCACAAAGCAAACAAAAATCTGATCAAAGAAAAGTATATACAAAGACCTAGACTCAAGCAATCAAAAACACACAAACATAGACACCGTTCCTCGGCAACGGCGCCATTTTGACGAGGGGTGGAACTAGATCGTTGAAACTAGTCCTCCCGCGGTCAAACTAAATTTATAAACACTTAACAAACCTACATACTAGTACAGAGGACAAGTCAAGGGTCGAACCCAAAGGAACGGTAATGTTCAAGCACTCGGAATTATGCGCCTAAGCTAAGTCAAAGTCAAAGGATAAAAGAAGAACACTAACCAACTACTAAACAAAGAAACCACACAAATAAAGCACTAGGAACGGGGATCAACAAGTAATCATGACAATTGAAACAACTTGGGAACCATATGCAATTCAATGGTTGTGAAGCTCAATCAAAAGAGTCAACAAGCTATCTCCTAGAGGTCAAACTAGCACCAACTACAAGAGACTCTAACTAGGAGCATCACTAATCAAGCTCAATCGACAAATGTAAGATACAAATCAATGGTCTGTATCAATGTAGACTCACAATGCAATATAGCATAATTCTCAAGGCCTAATAGAATTACACACATGCAAACTTCTGTTAATCACTTTAATCTCAATAATTAATCAACACAATCCCCAAATTTAGCACAATTAATCAATTATACAAGTTTCACCCAATTCCTAGCAAACAACTACTCTAACATCATCATCAAATCAACAAACAACTAAAGAAATCAAGAATCAACAATCTATGAAGAACAATTACACTAATCAACAATCAAACATCAAAATCAAACCAAACAAATATGAAATCAAACAAAGCAATAAAATGATATAGAGTTAAGAATGCTCATTGATAATAGATAAGATCTCCAACACAATTGTCACCATTTAATCTTCAATCTCTCAATCACCATTGAAATTCCTCACTTTCTCTCTCTAAAATATATTCCTAAACTAACCCTAAAACTAGAGAGAGAAGCTCTTAACTAAGCTAGGAATAAGATCAAAATCTAAAATAAAAATTTCTTGCCAAAAATTGGGTTCAAAAGGGTATTTATAAGTGGTGTAAAACGAAGAAGATCGAAGCCGGAACCCATAGAGGAGCGCCCGCGCAGCAGTCCTGCGCGTTCGTGCTCTTCTAGGTTTCTTCGGATCTTCTCGCGGCTTCGTCATTCGCTAAGGTCGCACGATTATGATGATGATAAACACTAAGTGAGGCAGTCCCTAAAGCACATGATTGTGGGTTCAACACCCCATATTCATGAGAGCACGACTTGAGAGCGCAAGAGCTAGAACTTGGAGAATCCACTTCCTTGCATCTTGAGCTTTCCAATTGCCATGAGCTTGCTCGAAAAGCATCCTCCACCATATTAAATCACCAATATCAAGAGCCGAACCTCTTACAATACCTACAACCACGAAAATAGAGCAAATAAAGGAGAAAAGACTAGAAAAACCATATAAATGCACAAAAGCTACAAAATAAGAGAGGAAAGGTAAGACTAAGACCAAAAGCATAAAACTAAGCATTTATTAAGCATGAAAGCCATGAAAAGAAGGTAAAAATAACCTAAATTCTCATCAAATAGGTTCCATTTATTACACCCATCATTATACCATACAAGAAGTAAGTTAGAGCAATCTTTAGCCACCAATTTACACCTACACAAAAATCCCCAAATTAGCTTCAACAATGGAGGAGAGAGAATGGTGGTTGTGAAGGATGAAATGTAGTATGAATGTTGTTAAAAATTGGAAAAAATTATAATTTGATTAATTATAATGGAAATTTGGAGGAATTTGAGTGAAGATTGATGAAGATGAGTAAGGTATGGTGCGGTGCGGTGCGCATGAGGGTGAAGAGATAAGAGTGCGTGAGAAATGAGGGTGAAGGGGAAATGAGGGAAAAGCAAGAAGAAAGAAGAGATAAGACACGGCTAGAGAGGTTGCGCGCCTGTGCCAGCTGATGCCCCTCATGCACTTCTCCTTGGTGCGTTCATGCGTGGGTGCTTCGATAACTATCATTCCGGGATTTTTGACCCCATCATAACGATCAGTTTCTAAATGTGAGTAATGTGGGTTCAACAACCCTAAAATAATGGTAGCACCACGATGAACTCACAAAGTTCAAATTTCCTTCAAACTTAAGCACAAATTTCCTATCTTGCCTTACTTAACAATTCTTACCCCTTTTAACTCAAAATTTCGACAAAATTGAATATAAACACATCAAAAACCGCAAAACACCATTCCATTGCTTGTTATCACTTGATGTAATCCAACTCGAAGAATTAAAACTATAAATCCAAAAGAGAAACAAGTGAAAGAAAAGAAAAGAAACTAAAAGAAAGAAAATTAAGAAAAAAAGAAATCAAAAGAAAAGGTTAGAAATCTCCGGGTTGCCTCCCGGGAAGCGCTTTCATAAGGTCCTTAGCTCGACCCTTCCTCCAAATCATGGAGGGTCAAAGAACACCACCTTGTCCAAGGTAGCGGATAGAACAACTTCTCCTTCATTTTTAAGCATTCACTTGTTGTTGCTTGACAAGACTTCACTTGCTTTCACATCAAAAGCAATTTTTTCATTTCTCAACTTTAATTTCATTCTCTTCTTCCTCGAAGCTATTGCTTTCTTCTTGACTTTGTTTCTTTTTGTAGACGGTTTTACACCATCTACATCCATGGAATCCACCTCTTCCTCTTAAGGGTAGAGCTTAAACCAATGAGGAATGTCAATCTCTTCTTCGTTCATAGCCTTTGAAAGCTCCTTCTTATCTTCACTAACTTTCATGCAATCAAAACTCACAAGCACATCATCAAAAATATCATGAATATTGTTAGATGAAGAATCAATCACATACACATTATCAAAATAACGAAGGGAATCATCACTCTTGATTCCTTTCACAAGGGATAAGGACTCATGCAATGGTTTTAGCTCAAAGCTATATTTCTTGTTACCAACTCTCAAGGTAATACGGCCTCCCTTAACATCAATCAAAGCTCCAGAAGTAGCTAAGAACGGTCTCCCTAAGATAATAGGAATGTGGTCATCTTCTTCTATTTCAAGCACAATGAAATCAACGGGAATTGTAAAACCACCTATCTTCAAGGGAACATTTTCAACTCTTCCCTTGGGAAACTTGATGGACCTATCGGCCAATTGCAAAGTCATGTTGGTAGGAAGAAGTTATCCTAGATTTAGCTTCTTGAAGATCGAGAAGGGCATTATGCTCACACTAGCACCCAAATCACACAAAGATTTCTCAAATAACTTACTCATAATTTTGCAAGGAATGGAGAAATTACCCAGATCTTTCATCTTCTTGGGAAGGTCATTGTGAATCAAAGCACTACAACACTCACCAACCTCTACCGAATCTATCTCATTACAGTCTCTCTTACCACTCAAGATATCCTTAAGGAATTTGGAATATCTAGGCATTTGGGTCATGGCTCTGGTAAGAGGGATAGAAAGATGGACCTCCTTCAACATTTCAAGAATTCTCCTAAATTTTACATCTAGTTTGTTCCTCATAAACTTTTGGGGATATGGAAGGTCGAGTTTTCTCACTTCCTCTTGCTTTCTCTCATCACTCTTCTTTTTCTCATGGATCTCTTCTTTACTTACATCTTTTGACACGTCTTCCTCTTTTTCCTCACTTGAAACACTCTTCTTCTTGTCCTCCTTACAATCCCTAGAAACTCTCTCTTCAAGAACCCTTCCAGTCCTTGTGGTGATGGAATAAACGGGTTTCTTAGGATCAACTCCTTGAGAAGGAAATGAAGAAGGACTAGCACAATCTTTTAAAGTGTTTTCTAGTTGTGTGATTTGTGTCTCAAGCATTTTGTTATGTGTCATGATCTCATTAAATTTCTTATCGCTCACAGCCATATTGGTATTCAAGATTTTTGTTTTATTTTCAATTATCTCCTCTAAATTGTACATGGACGATTGAGAATTGGAATTTTCACCAACACCTTGAGATTTTGGACCAAATCCGGGTGGGGGTCCCCTTTGGTCGTTTTGAAAATTCCCCTTATTTTGATTGTTCCAATTGCCTTGATTTTGATTGTTGCCAAAATTTTGGTTTTGGCCACCAAAGCCTTGAGATTGGCTTTGATTTCCATAACCTTGGCCTTGGTTTTGATTACCATAACCTTGTTTATTATGGTTGCCTCGGAAACCTTGGTTTCCTTGGTTCCTATAATTACCATTTTTATAATTATCAAATCCACCTTGTCGGTGAGAATTTCAATTTCCAAAGTTTCTTGGTCCATCAAACCTTTGACCATTGTTATTGTTTGAGACAAAATTCACATGTTCACATTCATTACTCTCCCCATCATCAATATTTTCAAACCCATTTGAACAAGTAGAAGCATCATGGTCATAAGACCCACAATTATCACAAAACAAGCATCCATTGGGAATATTGTTAGAAGTAGAAGGAGGAGTAGAGTTAGAAGATGTACCTGTCCCTTTAATGTGGGAGGGATGACCTTGTGCCTTGGAATTTGTACTCTCAAGCTTGGCCTTGATTGTTTTCATCCCCTTCCCCAAACTTGCAATTTGAGAGGATAGATTTTTGATGGCATTAAGGTGATCAGCCGAATAAATCGTTGATCCATTCTTGCTCGAAGACTCTCTTTCTCCTTGTTGCCAATCCATGTAATGGCGCACCACATCTCTATAACGTCAACAACCTCTTCTTCGATTTTGTTCATGATTGGGCCTCCGGCTCCCGCATTAAGACACGATTTTCCTTGATGACTCAACCCTCCATAGAAAATATGAATGATTTGATAGGTTGGGTTTCCATGATGGAGACATTCTCTTTGATACTCCTTAAACCTTTCCCAAGCTTCATACAAGCTCTCACTAGGTTTTTTCTTGAAAGTTTGGATCAAAGTTTGACAAGGGCATAAACGCGTCGTCAATTGTCTATCCCTAGATCAAATACAATTTATATAACCTAAACAAACCTAATACGAGTATAAGGCAAGCATAGGGGTCGAACCACAGAGAACGGTAAACACCACCAAATGTTATCGACAATTAAGCTAGTCCGGAATAGGAGATAAATAAACTAAAGTCAAAAAATGCTAAAACAAGAAATAAAACATTAAGGCACCAAGGGAAATGGGTAGGTGAAGTTGACGCTTGACCATACAATAAAAAAGTAGCATATCAATGGTAAACTAAATGTGCATGAATATCGAAGTAAAGGGTCCAATCTAGCCTCCTTTCGGGGTCAATTGGCTTCTCCTAACATAGCCTCTATGTTTCCACACTAGAACCATATACTAGGAGGTACTATTAAATAACAATCGATAGTAATGAATCTCAACTAAGTCAACTTTCGTTACTTGTTAGTAAAGACTCATCTTTGATCAACTAACAATGTGCACTTGCAAGAAAGACCAAAGAATATCAAGCATGCAAAGACTTTAATCACCATTAACATAACCCCAACATTCACCATCCCCACACCCTTGGCTAGATGACTACTCACAAATCATATTGAAAACAATATCAATCATCAAATCAATAAGCATCAACATGATTAATAAGCAAAGAAGAAAAATAAAAGCAAATAAGCAAAAACAACAACAAAGGTAAAGAGAAAGAGTAAGAGATTGCTCATTAATTGAAGATGAAGGTCTACAAAGGATTGAGCAAGCTCCTTCTTCAAGATCCAAGTTCATTAATGAAGGAAACCACACTTTCTCTCTCTACCAATGAAGACTAATTCTAACCTAACCTAAAACTAAAACTAATTAGAGAGAAGAATAGATAGTTCTTCAATGTTTTCTAATTACCCCAAAATTGGGTATTTATACTAAGCTAATAAAACTAGGAAAAATAGAAAAATAAAAGAAGGAAATAAAATAAAATAAATTAAAAGGAAAAGTAAAAATAGAAAACTAAAATAAGAATAAAAAATAAAAGAAAATAAGAAAAAGAGAAAAGAAAACAAAGAAAATGAAAATAAAATCGAATAAACCCACAAATCCCCACCAAACCATCAGCTACCCCATTCCCCTTTCTTCTTCGAAATTGGCTGCTTCAATAATGGGTTTTTAATCCCATGCTTTGCATCTCACCAAAGCAAACTAACAACCATCATCATCAAATCACAACCGCTCATCATCATTGAAAATCGGCATCAAGCAAACACTACCGTTCGATCCTCATTAAAAGCCATGTGCATAGCTCGTGAAGCGGTTCGGTCGAACCATGGGTTGGTGCGGCCGAACTACGGGGTTGGTTCTGTCGAACCATGGGTATGTTCGACCACTCCTCTTCGAATAACAAAACCCCAAAGTCTCTGACTCGAAGTTCGGCCGAACATCTCAATGGGTTTGCTCGAACTTGATTGATTTTCAATTTGTTATGATTTTTCTGTAATTGATGCTGGTGGGCGATTTGTTGCTTAATTGGTGGTTGTTTTGTTGTTGTTGTGGCTGGTGGTTTGCGGGGTGAAGCAGGGGCTGTTGCGTGGTGATTGCGGTTAATTGCGGGTTGGTGGTGGTTGATTGGTGGCAGCACGGGAGTTCTGATTGGTGGTGTTGGTGTTGTGAGGGGGAGTGGAATTGATGGTTGATGGTGGTTGTTGTTGCTGATTGGTGGTGGGTACGGAGGTGATTGAGGGAGGCTGCAGCTATGAGGGGTGTTGTGGTGCTTGCGGGGTTGCAGGCTGGTTGTGTGTGGTGTTTGGTTGTGGTCGTGTGAGGTGGTGAGAGCAGCGGGTAGCTGCTGTTGTGTGTGGTGGTGTTGCGTGGTCAGGTTGTGTTTCTGTTGGTGTTGGTTGCGTTGCTGTTGCTGTTGGTTGTGTTGTTGTTGGTGTTGGTGGAGCAGGGGATGTGCGGTGTTCAGGTTGTGTTGCTATTGGTGTTGGTGGAGCAGGGGATGTTGATGTGTTTTGGTGTGGTGTAGGATAATGAAGGAGATGGGGTGAAGGTTAGGAGGCTGCAGCTTGGGTTGGCTCAAGTTTTGCGCCTCGAACCTTGAACCTCCGAACACGAACATGACCTTGAAACCCGGGACACCTACAACCAAAAACACGAGGGTATTACTAAGAGACAAAATAAAATAAAATAAAATAAAATAAAGTAAAATAAAATAAAATAAGATAAATAACACTAAACTAATAAAAATTAAATAAAACTATACAAGTAAAGAAAGTGAAATAAAATAGACTCAAAACCAATTAAAATAAATAAAAGTAAATTAGAATACTTTCAAGGGAAAAATAAAGAATGAAATATAACAAATCAAAAGCGAATAAAATACGAAAATAAACTAAAAACTACGAAAAGAACTAAAACACGACAAAATTACCAAAATAAATTAGAAACTTTATTAAAGAGAAAGAAAGGAAAATAAGATAAAATAAACACGAAAATGACTCTAAAACTACTCCCTAAGAGTGACATAAATGTCACTCATCAAAGTTCTTGCCTCCGCCGTTTTCTTTTAGGGGTAGAACCTAGATAAGAATTCCTTGGTAACTTCATCCCATGTTCTAAGAGAATTTGGCTTGACCTCCTTGTTTAACCATTCCAAGGCTCGACCTATGAGAGAGAAGGGGAACAACTTGAGCTGGATAAACTCTGGAGAAACACCATTCACTTTAATAGTGTTACAATACTTCTTAAACTCTTTGAGATGGTTTAGCGAACTCTCAATCTTAGCCCCACTAAATTGTCTCCTTTCGATCAAAGTGATCATGGTCGGTCTTATTTCAAAGTTATTTGTCGGTGTTGTTGTCAATGAAATCCCACTTTCAAACCTATATGCACCGGGAGTTCCCAACTCCTTCAAAGCAAATCTTGGATTATTTCCCATGCTTACTTGATCCTTCTCCTCTCTTTCTTGGTGAATTTCTTCTCTTGGAGAGCTTGGACTCTAGGAACGATTAACAACCCTTATCCATGTTATTGTTCTCTCGATTTCCGGATCAAATGGAACTAAAGTCCATCAACTTATCCTAGGCATACAAAAAATCAAAGCAAATATCAATATCACGGCTACAAATGTAGCCTAAAGAGAAAAATCTTTTTGTATTTTGGAGATTAAGGTGAAATAGACTCAACAACAAAAGCAATCATCTACGCCTTTCCCCGGCAACGGCTCCATTTTTTATCTAGGGAGAGACTAGGTCAAATAATCTACCCTTGGTCAAAAATAAATTTGTAATCTCTCAACACACCCCTAGACAAAGCATATAGTAATTAAGTCGAGGGTCGAACGACTAGGAATGGGACGTGAGTGCTAATGTCAAAGCTAATCTATTTCGAAGCAATAAAGAGATGTGTGTAGATTCAAAATAATCAAATAATCAAAATGAAATCAAATTTATCAAGCACTAGGGTTAGGATTTGCATGTACTCGGAATGGATATAGCTAATTGGGATTGGATATGATTAAGTCGAGTGTTGCGAGGGAAAATCAATTAAGCAATCAAGAGAGTAAGGTAGGCTAATCTCTTGGAGGTCAAGCTAGCACCAACTACGAGAGACTCTACCTAGGAACCTTGCAAACCTACTCAATCGACAAAAGCAAGCCACAAATCAATTTTCCATATCAATGCAAGCTTACAATGCATTCTAGGGTAACAATCAAAGTTAGCTACTCTTCAATTAATCACACACATGCACTTAATCAATCAACCAATTTAATTACAACATCAACTCCATCAATTTCCCTCAATTAGCATCAATCCATTACTCATACATGATTCACCATTTCCCTAGCAAGAGAACTACTCACAATCCATTGAAATTAAGATCAAAACTAAGCTAATCAACAATTTCATCATCATCACATCAATAGAACTAATTCAAACACAAATTTAATTTAAACTTAAACAATCAACAAAGCAATTGAAA